GTTGTCGTGCCTTGTTCTCCATGACCCAGGGTAAAACAGAAGGGGCAGGTCAGGGGACAGAGGCTGTGGGTGCTGAGCATGGAGGAGGCCTGACAGGACCTGTCCCAGATAAGCAGGGTTGGCTGTCCCTTCTACAGCCAGTGTATGGTTGGCCCAGATGTGGGCAGTTGAGGCTTGTGATGAGCCGGGATGAGAGCTACGCAGGAGCCAGACCTAGGAGGAGGCCCCATTTCATTCACGGAGCAGAGCAGTCCTCACATCTCTGTAGGGACAGCTCGGCTGCATGGTGTGGGATTATGACAAGAGGGATGAGCTACGGGTGAGCTGGGGAGGAGATGACTTGGGCTGGACCCATCACACAAGCATATAATCTGGAAGTTTGAAGGGCCTTTCTGCCTTGAGTCCAGGGGCCAGCTGTCATCTGTCTGTCTGTCTGTCTGTCTGTTTCTGCTCTCTCTGCCCACAGGGGGACATGATGGTCACAGCCAGGAGAACAGGGAGGGTGGCCTGGCCAGAATTGTGTCCCTGAATCTCCAAAGGGCCAGCGAGAGATGATGAGCAGCCACTCTCCACCTCCACTGAACCCAGGAGAGAAGGGAGTTGGCTGAGACTGCAGGAGGCAAGATTGAGTTAGATGGCGATAAGGAATTCCGGATGCTGAGGGGTCCTGAGCACTAGATGGGGGCCAAGGACCAGTGAAACTTCTTTAAAGCCCTTCCTCCGACTTCCCACCGGGAAATACAGGCCCAGGCAGGCAGCCCACACCCTGTGGTTCCCACTGAGGCCCCACTCAAATATAGGGGGTGGGGGGACTTGCACTTTAGAACAACCCTCACCCTGCTCACTGCCTCCCACAGGGTGTCCAGGATGGAGCCCTGGGGCAGGTCATACCTGCCCCCTCACACCTGAGTAGACCAATGGCCCTAGGTCCCACCTCCCCGCTGAGAAGTGGTCCTTCCCAGGAGACTGCGGGGTTGGCCTCTAGGGGAGGCTGGAGCCTCCACTTGGAGAAATTGAGGCTGCCTTTCTGAAAGGGGGGCTTTGGCTGGAAGAGGGTTGGGAGGAGGGAAAGGCTCTGTAGGAGGTGTAAGCAGAGGGTGTGGGGGTGGAGCATGGAGAGCAGCAGAGGCCTGGCGGGAGAGCGGGCTGTCCCGATTAGCGGGTCCTCCGAGTAGAGCAGCTGAGCCTTCCCAGCGGAGGGGCGGCAGGAGGCGGGAGGTGACTGGGGAAGGAAGGGAGGCGAGCTCTACCCCTGCGGCGAGGTGCCCCCCACCGGTGGAGCCTGGCTGGGGCGAGCACGGCGGGTGCAGGCAGGAAGCTGGGGCCGCGGGTGGCGCGTCGGGCGCGTAAGGCTGTGCTGGGAGCTGATCCAGTGTGGCCGGCTGCGGGTTGGGGGCTGGAGTGAGGGTGGGGCCCACACAGAGCCCGCGCGTCATTATCTGGCCCCGGCCCGGCCCTCCGCGGCGCCTGCCCGGCCTTTGGTTGCTGCGCGCTGAGTCTGGAGTTTCCCTCTGGGTCCTTTCTTGGGCCCCCCTAGGGAGGGGGTGCCATCGGGCTCGGCCCGGGCCTGTGAAGCGCCTCGGGGTGGGGGCCCTCCAGGCCGGGCCTGGTGCGAGGGTGAGGGGCTCTCTTTGCGGGACAGGGACTGGCTGCGGGGGGACGCGCTGGAATTGCGCGCGGTGGAGGCAGGGAGGCCCGGACTGCGCGGGGCTGGGGGCCTGGTGCTGGCTTGGCCTCGCCCTGGGCCCTGGCCCCGGCCAAGGGGCTGTTTGGGACGGAAGTCGGCAGCAATGGCCGACCCTGGAGGCTTCTGCAGCTGGAGCCTGCGGGAGGAGGAGGGGAAAGAAGAGACATTTTCAGAATTGCACTGAGCCCTAGAGTCCTGTATCCACAGAGCTGGTTGAGACCTGACAGAGAAATAAACTGAGCCGATTGCCCGGGGAGGGACTTCTAGGGGCCGCACACTCCCCGGCCGCTCCCTGCAGGCTTTCTCCGGCATCTCTATTTCATCTTTCAAATTCCCATGGATTTTACATTCTGCTCTGCAATATACCCTTGTTTATGTTCATGTGAATGAAGTTTCCTCCTGACTATTCTGGGCTTTCTCCTTTGGCGTCAAATGCCCCGTGACACACCAGAGGCCTTTCCCAAACCTGGCCTCCCTGGCACCCCTCCAGGCCTGCTCACTGTCTCCACCCCCTTGAGCCCAGGGACAGGACTGGGACCCGAGTCGGAAGAGAGCCTCAGTTGGTGGTGGACAGGAGGTACATTCGAGGGGCCTTCCTGAGTCTTCGACAGCCCCTGACCTTAGCCCCGGGGAAGCCCCTGCTGGTGCAGGCCTTCTGTGGTCGCCCTCTGCCCACGCTGGGGCTGGCGGTGGTTTCTCACCTGCTGGTGATGGCTGTGTCCGATGCTGGGGCCGCACCATGGGGTCTGCCAGGGGACTGCTGGGCTGGGGCAGGCGTGGGCATGCGGGTGCTGACGGGGCGGGGGCTCCGGCTCCGGGTGGCAGCCGCCCGCCCGGCCTTCCTGGGCACCGAGGGCTCAGAGGCGGGCATGTCCTCCTCGGAGCCTGTGCCCGAGAACGTCTCAGAGGCGCGGCGCTGCTCCTCGCTGGAGGAGGAGGAGGCCCCGGAGGCCAGCCGCAGCAGCAGGCGGCCCTGCCTCTTCTCCATCACCAGCCGGGCCAGGTCCTGCTGGGGTCGCCCCCGCTTGCTCCACCGCTCTCTGGCCGACAGTGAACCCGAGGGCTCGGAACCAGTGTCCTCCTCCGACAGCAGCACAGGGATGCGGCTTCTGCAGCGAGGGCCTGGCCTGGCACGGTGGCTGCGGGAGACGGTGGCCAGTTTCTCGGGGTCTGGTTCCAGCGGGGGTGCTGGGGCTGGCCCATCAACAAGGGGTGGTCCACTGGGCAGTGAGTCCACGGCCACCTCCACGGGGGTGTCCCCAGGAGGGCCAGGCAGGGCACAGCTCTCCAGCCCTGACTGGGGAATACCGTTCTCCAGGGGCACAGAGGTCCCCTCCTCTGCAGCCCTCCCCTCAGAGGGCACCTCCAGGCCCAGCTCGCCCCCAGAGCTGAGCTCCTCAGGCCGTGAGGCTTGCCCACCGGAAGACATGACGTTGAGGTGGGTTTTCTCTGCAATGTGTACAAAGGTCCTCTCAACTTTGGTGAAGGGTGAGGAGGTGACTGCCACTCCCCCTGCCCCTGCGGTGACTGCCCCGGTCCCCAGCCCTGTCCCAGGCCCGGGGGGCTTGGGCTCAGACTTGAGGATGGAGGACAGGGTGCCTGGCTCAGACACGTCCAGCTGGCTGCCGGTGGGCTGGGGCCGCTCGTTCTGAGGAGTGAGGGCAGCCAGGGTGCCCAGGTCAGGGTCAGGGGCCAGGTCGGCAGTGACAGGCGACTTCTTCATGTCACCAGGGGAGACGAGCACCAGCGTTTTGGAGCCCTCCTCAGGCTCCAGGTCCCCGTCAGCCATGGAGGCCCGGCCCCTGGACTCCTTCTGGTCATCAGCCAGCAGCGTGGACGGGGCGCCCTCCTGGCTCCGGTCGGTGCTCCTCTCGCTCCCCTCACTGCTGGAGCCACTGTGAGGCCCCAGTGCCTCCCCCAGGGCTATTGCCTCCTCCTCCACTTCCTCCACCTCTTCCTCGTCCTCCTCGTCCTCCTCTTCCTCCTCGTCCTCCTCGTCCTCCTCCTCTTCCTCCTCCTCTTCCTCTTCTTCCTCTTCTTCCTCGTCGTCCTCCTCTCCCTCCTTCCCATTAGCTTGAGACTGGACAGGAGTCAGCGGGATCTGGGGGGTGGCGAGGAGCATGTGCGAGAAGCCCACTCTCCGGACCCGGTGGAGCAGCCGGGCCCGTTCGCGGTAGTCGGAGAGGTCTTTCTTGAAGTCCTGGTAGGGCAGGCTCAGAGGCACAGCTCGTGGGAGACCGTTCACCTCAAATGGGGGCGCCACGGAGAACACCTGCAAGGGGCACACACAGGGACCGGCTGAGGCCACCCCCTCCGAGGCCCGAGAAGACCTGACTGCACCCACAGCTGAGAGGCCCACGGGCCCGGGTGTGTCCACAGTGAGCTCCTAAGGGCAGGCACTGGGTCTGGTGGGCTCATTGCTCTATCCCCAAGACCTAGGGTCTCCGATGAATGGTTGTGTCCATGCTCCAGGTCCCCTGAGGTCCCAGGCCCTGATCCTGGGGGCTTTTCTGTTTCTCAGCCTCCCATTTCCCCACTCCTCTCCTCACCTCACCACGTGCATCCCCAAGCCCAGAGCCACGTTAGTTCAATCAGTAGAATAAAATGACCATGGCCAGGCAGATTAACCCTCCCTTTTACCGACGTGGAAACCAGGTCCAAAGAGGGGCCCTCACTGCCTCCTCGCGGCATAGTTCCTCTGCAGCCAGGGGCCGGCTGCCCAAAGCCCAGGGCCTGTGCAGGACAGGCAATGTCCAGGGTGTCCCCCAGCCCCCACGTGCAGGCTGGGCCACTGGAGCTCCAGACCCTGTCCTCCCACCCACCCCTCTACAGGGCTAGCCGCCCACACTTCCTCCGGAATTCACAGCCAACCTGTGAGGACGGTTTCTTTTCACTCAATTAAGTTTTCCCCTTTGAAGCTTTGTAGAGCAGCGGTTCTCAACCTTCCTCATGCCGCGACCCTTTAATACAGTTCCTCACGTTGTGGTGACCCCCAACCATAACATTATTTTCGTTGCTACTTCATAACTGTAATGTTGCTACTGTAATGAATCGTAGTGTAAATATCTGATATGCAGGATGTATTTTCATTGTTACAAATTGAACATAATTAAAGCATAGTGATTAATCACAAAAACAATATGTAATTATAGATGTGTTTCCCAATGGTCTTAGGCGACCCCTGTGAAAGGGTCATTCGACCTCCAAAGGGGTCGCAACCCACAGGTTGAGAACCACTGTTGTAGAGTGTCCTTGGCAATTCGATGGCCCTGTCTGGTTTCCTAAGACTCCTGCCACCTCTCCCCCCACCTCCTTCCTTCCAGACTAGAAAGGCCTGGCCACCTGATCAGAACGCAGCTGCTGCATCTTCTCCAGCTCGGCCCTGTCAGTCCACACCCCCCGGGCACCCACGGCGCGGGCCATCAGGCTGACTGACGTGGCTCTATTCCAGGCTGATGGTGCGAACAGTGCCCGGCACTGTGTTAGCCTTTTGAACACCCTGGGCCTCCATCTTCCTAAACACAGCCCATCCAGAGCCCCAGAGAGATCCTGACACTCCCAACACCTTCAGGGGCCGTCCAGACTTGCAGGGAGTCCTGCCAAATCCCTGCTTACACATCTGTGTCTGCTGCCCATGGGCACAGCCCTGTCCTGCCTGGTGGTTCCCTGGCCACGGGCCTGCTTTCTCCATCCCACACTGCCCATCCATCCATCCCATGGCTGCCAAGGGATCTCCCTGAAACTTAAATCAAACCCCATCTCTCACTGCTTCACGTTGCCCCCCTACCCCCCTCCGCACCATCATCTGGCTCCTATCTTCTGCTCCAACCTCACTTCTAGCAGCAACCTCTGATTCCCCCGCCCTACACCCCAGCCATTCAGATGCCACCATGTTCCCGAAGTGGGTCATGCATCTCACATTTCTGTGCCTTTCCCAAGGCAGTTTCCTCTGCCCCGGGTTCCTTCTCACCCGCTCTATTCACGTGTAAATCCCCGTTCTTATTCCAGGACCTGCTCTCACAGCTCCTCTCCCAAAGCCTTCCTGTCCACCCACCAAGCAGACTTCACAGCCTCCTTTGTACTTGTTTCCCACTTCCTTCCATTAGAGACCCTTCCCCCTCTATTCCACCAGTAGGTGTTTACATAGTTCGCTCTCCCCATAAACGCTAAGCCCCTTGAGGGTCATTCATTCATTCATTCATTCAAAAGTCCTGAACCTGTGAATGCAGTGAATAAGATAGACATGGTCCCTGTGTTCACGGAGTGTGCAATCTCTATATTAGGAAACAACATGGGGACGATGCACACTCTACAAAGGCTGTGATCATAATGAGGCCGTGTAAGCAATGGGTCTGGCATGTAGCAGTTTCTTGATAAATGTTAGCTCCCTCCCACCCACCCCCTACTCTGATTTGGAGATCACTGCTTCTATCCCTGACCCCAGAAACGCCCAGATACCACATCTATGGGGGCGGGGGCGGGGGTAGAGCGGTGGGGAAAGGAAGGGAGGCCCTTGTGCAAACAGCCCAAAGGCCGGTGGGGGGAAGGCAGAAACCCCCAGGCCGAGGACCTGCCCGGGCTGTCTGTGCTCCACCACCCCCGCTGCCTTAACCTCCCTCACAGCCAGACTCTAGGTGAGGACTTGCTGGGGAGGCCTGGGGAGGGGGGTGGGAAACTGATGCAAGACACGGCAGCATCAGGCCCAGACAGGACCCCAGCACACCCTGTCTGAGCCGGGCAGGGGACTTCCTTCGAGCACTGTCCCCTTCATATACCCGGCTGGAAGTCTCCAGCAATTGTTTTCTTTTTCTGCACCATTCTCATTATTCATTAATTTATTAATTCACTTAGCAAACATTAACACTGCTTCTGTGCCAGGCCTTGCGTTGGGTCCCTTAGCCATGTTTAGTTTCCAACATCAAGGTTAGAGAAGATGACTGGGCAGAGGCGGAGCGGGTTGCTGTGAGCTCCTGGGTTTGTGGGGACCACCGGGCAGGTGCTGGCGCGGACAGCCAGGGCAGGCAGGGAGATGCAGAGCTCTGGTCAGGTCTCCCTCCTGTCCAGCTCAGAACCCACCCACCCAGCACCAGACACATCCCACCTGGCAGGGATGCCCTTCAACCCAGGCGTCCTTTCTCAGCAGAACCTCTGCCTATTTGCTCTGCCCCACCTCTGACACGTAGGGCATCCCTGGCAGAACCACTCTGCCCTCTGGCCAGGGCCTGGATCTCTGACAAAGCCCCATCCAGCGGGTGGACCCGCCTTTCGCAGCGCCCACTTAGCTGATCCCAGCTGGAGTCTCTCCCATGCCATCTGAAAGCCCCCCTCTCCCACTACATGGGAGGAAGGAGGAAGGAGAACTGAACATCAGTCATTGGTGATAACATCAGGCTGGAAAACTGAGGCCTGGAAAGAGGTATTGAACCCATCAACCAGGGTGGCCCAGAACTCTTTCCACTGCCTCACTCCCCTCCCTCTCCCCTCCCCTGCCCGCCCCCAGCAGGGAAACCTGGGACCCTCTGCCCTTTAGCTGGAAGGGCTGTGAACTTCACAGTGGGGCAGCCTTGTCCCACAGATCCCTGCCAAGCCCACCTCCTCCTGGGCATGCTGGGTTTTCTGTTTCAAAATCCCTCTGCCCTCCGCATCTGGCTCCATGTGGGAAGTCCTCCCTCCCTCTCTCCAGGCCTCTCCTGGATGCCTGAGCCCAATGAGCATCCATTCATTCATTCATTCACCCATGCAATCCAGTGCTCAGCTATCGGCCAGCAACCACTAGACAGCCTGTGTGTGCTTGGCCCTGGAGGCTGAGAACACCATGGAAGGGGACCAGCCATGACACCCCCCATCCCAGCTCAGAGGGAAGCAAGAGTGCAGGGTGTCAGCAGGGGATGCAGGAGTCCCGGAAGCTCCCGCCTGCCTGTCCCTTTCCAGGGCAGTGACCTTTACGATTCCAGTTTGCTCACTGTGCTCTCCAGGCTGGTTTGCACAGCATTACCTGGGAGTGTTTCTTCTTCTTCTTCTTCTTTTTAAATATATATTTATTGATTTCAGAGAGGAAGGGACAGTGAGAGTGAGATAGAAACATCAATGATGAGAGAGAATCATTGATTGGCTGCTTCCTGCACACCCCACACGGGGGATCAAGCCCAAAACCCAGGCATGTGCCCTGACCAGGAATTGAACTGTGACCTCCTGGTTCATAGGTCGACGCTCAACCACACCAGCCAGGCTCTGGGGGTGCCTCTTACAAATAGAGTCCTACCCACACCCCCCGTCTGTAGGTCAGAGATGAGGCCCAGAAATCTGTTTAAAGCTACCAGTGATTCTACTAAAGTTGGCAAAAGGCCAATGTTAGAGGGTGGATGGCGGTGGGAGAGGAGGCGGCCATGGGAGCTGGACAGAGAATGAAAGCCCGGCCCTCCCCCTGCCCCCGCTGAGCCCAGACCAGAGGGCTGCGGCCTCACTAGCTTCAGAGCCCAGCCCAAGTTCATTTTCTCCAG